AGTCACCGTCTCTATACCACAACCGTTGCGTGGTACATCTCAATAAAATAAATGGGAGCGCTCAAAATTTTGTCTCCATTATGGCTCAGAGTGCAACCGTCCCCAATTACTGAGCGCTTTTCACTGCCTTAGCTTGGCGTATGCTGGCTAAACGATAATTAATCTAAAAAGCCTCCTTGCCGACCTTGACTTATTGAATCGTAAAAATGCGAAAAAAGGATAAAATGAATATCTAAGCGCATGGTACTAGACCGTTTATGTAACTTTTTCGCTTAAACAATTTCCCTCGGATGGTCGGACAACGTTCAAATACTGAAATTAAGTGCCTCTGAAATTTCTCTGATGCGGTTTGTCTTCAAGAATTGCTTTCAAAAGTTAATTCTCAAGAGTGCGTGACCGCCCTCCACTTTATTCCTTTACAAGTTTCGTAATGCTACAACGGAAAGCCTAAAGCCACCTTCTTACCGTCAGCTCACTTGTGGAGCCTTCTCCAAATGCTCTGTTAATACTGGCGGATATTCGAAAAGCACTAGGAACGAGGTTGAACTCACGTAAGAAGAAAACGCATATTCTTTATTAGGGCTTGCATGTTTCAAAATTATGCTCTGAAAAAAGGTATAGAAGAATTATAAAGGTGCACACATCAATTAGTAAGCATGTAAGTGCTTATATAAAACACTGCAAAAATGATTATAATTTTTAAAAGGGAGCCTTAAAAGCGGCTAGTATTTTCCGAGCAATCTCAGTTGTAGACGCGTGTCCACCCGCGTTAGTAGATCAGAGAGCACCGACAGAGGAACTGTAAGCGCAGAAAACTCTCTGAACAGTCCATTCGTTGGAATCAATCAGAGGTCGGAGGGTTGACAATCACTAAGAGGCTAGACTAAGACACGTAAAACTCCACGAGGAGAACTAGATCGTTTACTTAGGCGTCACCACTGCGATCGATAAAGCCTTAATAAATTTTGTTGACTAAAACCGCCTATCCGCGCACGTGCAAGTGCTTCCTTTTTGAAAACGCCTGGAATAAGGTCGAAAGGTAAAGTCGCACTGACCACTGAGATCTTGATAACCCATTTGACGGACAATTCCAAAAATTCGGCCGAACTACTACATAAGGGCGGCGTTTTTTCTTTAATTCAAGGTGACACGTGGCCGGTTGGATTCCGCTACATTAAATTAATACTCAAGAAATTAGACTGAAGGGAAACTTCTGACGCCCTAGCAACAGCATCTGGGAAGGATAGAGAAAGCAGAGACGAATGCTGGGCAGAGGTATGAAACGATAGATTCCTCAAAGTCAGCGGTTATGCGTTTCAGTGTCTTCAGTTCTACGGAATCGCCTGCCGTAGTGGAGGCATCAGAGGACGAGACAAACTATTAGGAACTACTTAGGAGACTTGTCGCATGGAAGGCTAAAATGCAGTGTAGTTGCACGAAGTTCCAATAACATCGACAATTCTAGGCCTTTATTGAGGTAAGAATATGGGAGTACAGCAAATTCAGTTAAAGAGCGAAAGGACACGGAGTTAGCCTGCTACTTTGATATAGGCCCACATATAGTCAGGCATCGAAGTGCTTGCGCAGAACTCAAATCCAAGGCCAAAGGGCCAGACATGGAGAACTGTAGGCGAAGGGAAAAGAGATCAAAAAATAGCTCAAGATTGGCAAACTCCAAATCTAGGATGACAACGGAGAGACTCGAAGAGTGAACTAAGAGAATTACGCGAATGGAAGACGGAGGAGGAGATAGGGAGGGCACAAAAGAGGTCAGCAAAGAGTAAAGTACGAATACAGAAAGTTTCTGTCGGACGTGGATGGATAGAGCACGAATAAAGAGGGGGATAATGAATAGTGATGAAAAGGGGCAAAGAAACGCAACGTCGGCAACAGCGAACTGTGGCAGAGGAACGGGGAAAAGATGGTCCGTGTAAAACAGGGGAGGCATTTGATTTTCCAGCTCACCATAAGAAGTCAGACCAAAGCACTCAACATAGACCCTCATCGGTTCTGACATATTATGCTATTGGTTGATTGCGTCACATGTTTACAAGTAATTTGTACACTAAGAGTGG